CACCCCTTTTACCCGTTGCGGCCAGGTCATCATGTCTGCCAAGGGCTTGGTGCCGGGGCGCCATGGACACGTGTGTGATGATTAACGTGGGTGACAAGGCTCAATCGTATGTGTTTCGCCAGGTCGCAAGTAGGTGCGGAGTCATCCATAGCAGCCGCTTGTTGGGGCGCATTGTTGGGAATGCGCACACGCCGACGATGTCGACGGCTATTATGCACATCGTTGCCGTCGTCGTCCTTGCTGTCCTCCGATAATAGATCCTGATCGATGACCATCCTTGAGTCCACCATCAAGTGATGCAGAATGCATATAGCCATGAATTCCTTCACCAATGTCTTCATGTTGATGAAGTGCCTCCACACCGCTTTCAACCGCCCAAATGTCCTCTCGATGCACGACCTGGCAGAGGTGTGACAGTCGTCATACACCACCTGCTCAGGAGTCCTGTGACCGCGCCAGCCCGGGGTCATGATCCAAGGCAGCAGTGGATAGCCTGTGTCGCCTAGAAGATACCGACCAACGCTCTGCCCGTCGCACAGAACAACTGACCCGCTCCCGAATACCCCCCTGCCCTCTTGAGCAATCTGGTACAAACGGGATATGCGAAGGACTCGCGAATCATGGACAGACCCAGGGCATCCGGCGTAAACGCTAGAGATTCGACATTCATGGTCGCAAACGACTTGCGCGACGATGGAGAACTGCCCTGTCCTATCGTAGTAGCACTCGGACCTCTCGTTCTTCGGCTTCTCTATGTAAATGTGGGTGCAGTCAATTGCCCCCATACACCCCGGGAAGCCTTTCCTCTAGAAGGCGTCCATCATCTCTTGCAACCTCCTTCCAGTCGGGAAGGATATGGTCTGCCCGTACTCCGTGAGGAGCGCATCCGCCACGTCCTCGTTGCTTCGCAAGGCACTGCAGAGACCCAACCCCAATCCATGCGCCGCCTGCCTGTAGTAGCCCCCTGTCGCCCACCTCATGAGAGCACACACGAACTTCTGCCCTGCCGGAATTGCCTGCCTCCAGTTTGTGCTCTGCCTTTGGATATGGTGAGCAATCCGTGCCAGGATCTCGTTGAAAAGCGGCCGAGGGAGTCTGCAAAACCGTCGGAAGACTCGGTCATGATGTGACCCCACCCTCTGCAGATCCTTCCACACCCCCCCGCTGTGTTCTAGCACCCAAAGTCTCTTCCTCGTCTCCATATTGTCGCCAATGGATTGTATGGCGCAGCTCATGAGCAACAGGCTATGCATGACAGCGCCAGCGAGAACCAGCATAGCGTCCAGCACCGTTGCACCACACATCGGGAGTGCTGCTGCAGCATGGAGGACAGCCATAGCTGCGGCGTTCCTGCGGTTCACCCACTGGACGATAATGAAAACCAGGGTGAGCATGCAATCCCAGTCTGCTTCTGTCAAAATCGGAGATGAGGGTTCCATGATGTTCGCGAAAGGTAGATCCGCGGTGCCAAAAACAGAAAACAAAAAAATATAATATATATATATATATATATGACGATATATATATATATATACCTCTAGGTCTAGCGGCGTGTCTGGAGTGTATTTTTTGGCTGTGCCAGACCTTTCTTTGTTTCGTGGATGTTTTGCTGGCTTGTGATGGGGTGTGAACCGACAGTCTGTAGAGTTTTCCATCTGGTGTGGGTGAGTGATAGTCTACTTTGATTTTGGTTAAGGTAGATTATCATTTACAGTGTAATCAGTGAGGGGATTCTGCAGACTGTTGAGGGTTCAGCCGTCCTGATGAGTCGGTGAAACTCCGACGAAACAGTTTGTCACAGCCCCTCGTTTGTTGTCCTCTTCTCTCTCTCTGCCTACGGTTTACCGCGCAGTTCTATTTGTGACGATATATATATATATATATACCTACGGTTTACCGGGCAGTTCTATTTGTGACGATATATATATATATATATATCGATTAATCACGTCTCCCAATGGCACGTCTTCTCCTGATGTCAGCTATGGCGTTGTCAGCACCTCCATGCACAAACCAAACGACCTCCACCCCCGCCAGACGCACTGTGCACAGAACGTCCACACGCAACCCCCGAATGGAGAAGTAGCAGCAATGTTTTAAAAAAATTCGAAAAACTGTTGTCAACGGCTTGCAAGAGCAGGACCCGCTGCAGCCGGTTTGAGCTATCCCACAACGGCTCCTCCACCGGCGAAATGCTGGCCCTGCCCCTAGCCGTCCGCTTGAAAACAGCCGTTGCGGGCAAGGGCGGAACCGGTACGCGCGCCGTCGCTCAACAAAGCCGCACTTGACACCCCGTGCCGTCGCACGCCACGCTTGGAAGTCCTGGTGGTCTGTCGAAGCAGGGGCGGACATCCATGACCACCGCGCGGTCCATTTGCAGTTTCCAGACTTTCCAAGCTCCTGGAAACTGCGTTTTCCAGCCTCTCCGGTGGGGTCCCCCCTTTCCGCAGGCGAACTTTTCCAGCCGGGTTTCCATGGAAACCCGAAGTTGGAAACATTTCTCGGGTTTTCCCTGTGGGGTCCAGGCCTAAGGCACAAAAGAGTGCCGTGGTGGCAAGCCACCTCCACAGGATAGACAGGAATACCACCGTGCGAGCTGAGATCCCAAGAAGAGTGATTACTCTGAGGAAGGAACTTCGCCTGAAGCTGTTCCCCGAGAAATTCTTTAATAGAGTGCTGAAATGATTCGCCCATGGCCGAGATGAGCCGTGGCAACGGACTGTTTCCTTGTTGACTTCTGGAGGGTAATGGTATTCGGCCATTAATGCTTATGAACGACAGGATATCGATGGCAGCGACAGGGCCCTTTGTTCTGGGTCAGTGTCTCGGCATGACAGTGCTGTCTAGGTCCAGCGATTTGTATTTTTCCGGACATTGTGACAGGGTTTGTTTGACTAGGTATAGTGGGAACCCTTCGTGGGTTTTGTTTTTCCGTCCCCTGGAGCCCGGGACCTTTGTTTGGTATGGATTTTGGCTCCGAGTAGTTAGGTATAGGTCCTACGGTGCTGTCTTTTGTCCCCGTGAGCCCGGGACATATCGGTGTGGTTTTTGATTTGGCCCTGAGTGGACTGCGGTTTCTGATATTGCGACTGTGTTTGTCTAGACTAGGTACGGTGGAACCCTTCGTGTGTTCTGTTTTTCCGTCCCCTCGAGCCCGGGACACTTGATTGGCGTTGAATTTGGCTCTGTATAGTTAGGTACCTGTCCTATTGTTGTGTTCGGGTCTCCTGGAGCCCGGGACCTATTGGGGTGTTATGGATTTGGCTCTGAGTAGACTGTAGGGTCGGGCCTACCGCTTATACAGCGGTCTGATACCCGTGGTCGTTACCTTGGGCCCAGGGACGATATCGGGGTTGCCGCCCGGACAATACGACTGTTCGGGTATATATAGAATGATTGAGAGGTAGTACTCCTCTTCGTGCACTATCGGTTTTCGTTAGTGCGGTTTGTCGGACGCATATGGTGGACCATTGGGTGTTGAGGATTGAACGGTTCTGGGCTTTAACGTATATCAACTTTCATTCGATTCATTCTAATCTCTTTACACCGTCACATGTGTGTATTGCCGTGTCTATGGATGTGAGTTCATCATTGTCATGTTACGTCGTTATTCTGCATAATTACCTTGTAGCGCGCTGCCAGCCAGGCAGGGCGGATTCCACGTGAGGCAGCTAACTGCCTGGCTTCATTCAGTTCCAGACAAACACTGTAGCATCCTGTATAGGACCGCAATCACAGCATAAGGGATGTTCTTTTTTTTTCTTTTTTTTTTAATCTGCTGTTCGTGGATAGACGAGGGCCCTGACTGAACTGCGCGGCCCGAGTTTCAACTGCAATTGAAACTCGGGCCCTGACTAAACTGCTAAATTGCAGTTTCAAATGCAATTACAAACTGCTTTCGTGACTGCGCCGTAGTTACCCCTTTTTTTTTTGGGGGGGGGGGGGGGGGGGGKGGGGGCCTTACCCAGCTACAGTCGCCTCATGCCCCACAGCGTGATGACATTGAAAAAAAAAAAAAAAATCGAAATAACCTACAAAATAACAAACGAAAATGCTTATTTTGGCTGTTTTTTTTCCGTTTTTAATAAAAAAAATACTATTCGTGAAGAAAAAAAAAGTGAATGGGGAGTTACCCTCCTATGACCCTCACCCTCCTAAAAGAACAAAAGCACCCGCCCCCCAAGCCAAAAAAAAAAGAAAAAAAAAACGATCCCGCTCTCCGTGAACTCCATGAACTCCCACGCCCTGAACTCCGTGAACTCCATGACCGGCTTCCGTCCACAGACCCCGTGAACGGTGAACAGGGGTGCAGCACTGCCGCTTATACCCCAGACTCCCAGAGGCCTTCGGCTGCAGGAAGTTGTGGCAACGGTCACTGCACTAGTACAGATGGAAACCCCCGAGTCACCTCTCCTCATTTCATCCCCACTCTACCCCCGTATTTGCCGACCGTGTCCATACCCTTCATTCCTCATTGAACTTGTCACAGGCGATCTCAGTTCCAAGCAGGGGATCCAACTCCCCTTTCCTAAAATCCTTGGCACACCTTCTCTTCTCGCACTTTCTAGGCCCACACCTACTCCCACCAGAGCGTTGCGCTGCAGTGGGCACGAGGTAACCATTGGCCATTGCAGTGGCAACCTGCCAAGGTAAAATCCGGAGGAGGCATAAGTGTCCCCCTCTGAAAGGGATTATGGGCCTCTGGGTCACTCCACCACTCACCACAGCCGCAATTGGGTTAAATTTGGTGTAGCTTCTGCTGCTTCGCGACAGTGGCCACTTAACGACTCACCATGTCCCTTGCGTCAGAACTTCAGAAGTAGGTTTTTCGTTCACGATGACACAGCTGTGGTGAGTAGCACTGAGCTGTGAGTACTCACCACAGCTCCCTAAGCCTCCCTCTGCCCCCTCCTCCTACAAGGACAGGGTTGAGGTGCTTCCTCTCAGCCACCTATCAACAGTGTGGAGTGAGTCATCCTCCTGGCCACTGGCCAGTGCCAATCAGCCCCCCCCTCTTGTCTTCTTGCACTCAGTGACACGGTGACACCCCTGTGGCGAGTGCTCTCATGTGGCAAGTGGTGGAGCAAGGGCCATTTTGCTGTGCACTCAGTGCCACTCACCATGGGAAATTGAGTTTCCTGACTCAGTCTGGTGGACCGAGTCCCTAAGAATTTCCTGACTAACGGAGTGAATCCCTAAGTAGTCCCTTAAAGTTTATTCCCATACTGCTATTGTTCCCCTCATTTGTTTCATTTTCAGGAAAAGTTAGATGGAGCGGCCTGGCAGCCAAGGCTTCAATTCCAGCCGCTCTCTTACCGCCGCCCGGATAGAGGCCTTACAGAAGGGCTTGGGAAAAAAAAAAAAAAAAAAGAGAAGAAGAAGAAGAGGGACCCCCTGCGGCAACCTGCCCTAAGACCTCTTTTCCGGGAGCGACGTCACAGCCGGCATTGCCGGGATGCAGGTGGATGACGGAGGAGCGTGTAGTGACGGAAGCATGTGGAGGTGTGTGGGACACATGCATGCCAGGTTTGGTGGGAGAAACCCACTGTGGACGGTCACCTGGCGGTGATCGAAACCGGTCGGGGAGCCGCTCTTCTGGAATTTGTGGATTTCATCTGAAAAAACTTAGGATTGTTCTTTGACTCAATCATCTTGCTGCCGCTTAACGTCTCTGTGTTGAGCGACGTGTGTATGTGCTATCTGCCATTGAATCTTACTAACGTCTCTGTGTTGAGCGACGTGTGTATGAGCTATCTGCCATTGAATCTTACTTACTTAGGGGCTCGTTAAACACTCCTCGGGCGCTCAAAAATCCCCAGGAATTGATCGTTCCATCTGTCCTTGGGGCGTCCTCGGGCCATCCTCAGGCTACAGGCATTTGACTGTGTTCCCCAAGGTACCTCGCGAGGTCCCTCGGAGTGGGAGTTTCCACGAAAATCGGGACGGCGGCGGCGCTCTTCGACGACGTCAGAATTTTGTAGTCTGGTACATTGCTGGTCCAGCCGAGGTGCGGGCGGACATTAACGGCCGGCAACGTTCGACTCCGGCGGGAACGACCGCAACGGTAAGGTTGGGTGGCGGACGGGGTCCCTGGCCGTTGCCGTTTTATCCCGGCCCCTCACCAGCGCCGGCGGGAAACGGGAAGGCCTCCAACGGCCAGCCGTTTCGAAAATGACAGCGGCGTACGTCCGTCACCGCGCGCAGTGGTCCGCAATGTAAAGCGGCAGAGGGCGTCCGCAGTCGTGCCCACGCACGCCTGCTGTTTGCCGCCGTCTGGGTAGACGTTACGTTGTCATGCGTTGTCGTCGTTAATTTCCCTTGCGAGGACGGTTGTGTTACATGGCCGGCGTGATCCGCAAGTTGCCAGTGGTCGTCCTCGTCGTGATTCTGCTTCTAGTTGTCGTCTTTGTTCAGGTGTGCATATTGGGGAGGTTGCCTTCACATAGTCGCAGGAAACAAGGGGTGAGGAAGAGCGTGGCCATGGACGGGCGGCGGCCGAATGTTGCCACGTTGTCGGACACTTATCCCAGCCACCGGCCTGCGATCAGCACCGGTGTAGACACAAGGGCGGCAGGTCCGTCGCCGTACGAAGGACTCCCGCCTCACAAGCAGCCTCTGCCGGATTCGGACGAGGGGGAGGCGGACGTGGACGTGTCCAACACAATTCCGCTGGGTAGCGGGTCGACCCAGGAATGGACGGGTAGCCAGTTGTTTGATCGGCGCGGAGCGAAGTACAGGCAGTCGTTCACTTCCCTCCTCCACGAAGGTGCCCAGGAAGAGGAACGCCTCCCCCTTGTGGATCTCACATTTGGCCTGCAGAGCGGGAGCCCATCTTTTGCCACGCACACTGTGCTCGTGAACCCTCATCCCAACGACGACGGGGGGCAGGTGACATTGGTCGGCAGGGGCACGAGGGGTAGTTCTGCGCCTAAGGAGACGTCCGAGAAGACGAGGGAGCGGCCTCGAGTGCAGGCGACTTCTGGCCCGTCAATTCCATGCACCACCGCTGGTCGCCCTGAGTGGATGAACCCCCCTCCTGCGTTCTCCAGGGGCCGCGACACCGTTCCTCGTCCAGTTGAACGGGGTGTGAGTGAGGAGGACTTCCCTTTCGAGGGCGCGCGTGGAGATGGCAGGCGGGTATGGAAGGAGTCGAGGCAGGAGTTGGGGCGGCAGCAAGAAGAGTCCATAACGCAAGGTGTGCAGCGATTACGCGTGGGCGAGCGGGCCGGGCAAGCAGACGCGGTTGGCGGGGGGGGTGACGTCTGGACAGACGGTGACGAAGTTGAGTGCGACGCTGAGGAGGACGACAGCGGTGACGTGTTCCCGTTGCGTGCGCCGAACATGGGTGGCAGGGGCGGCAGAGGCAGGGCTTCGACGAATGGTGGGCGGCGGCGGAAGAGGCCGTCGGCGACCTCTGCTGATGCGGAAGGTGAGGGGGATGGGGAGGGTGGCCGGAATTTCTGGTCTTTGGATCACATGGTGGCCCTCATAAGGGCGAAGCGGGATCAAGACGCCCAGCTGCAAGCGACCGGGCACGCATTCGCACGGATGCGGTCGAGGGAGTGGATATGGTTGGACGTCCGGGAGAGGTTGCTGAAGGCCGGTGTTGACAGGCCGGTAGACAAATGCGGGAAGAAATGGGATAATCGCATGCAAGAGTTCAAAAAGATGCACACTTTCATGGGCATGTCGGGGAAGGAGGACTTCTTCCAGTTGACGAGTCAGTAGAGGGCAGAGAAAGGATTCAACTTCAACATGGATTGGGCCGTCTACAAGGAGATCAAAGGGGGGAAGGAGAGGAACCACACTATCAGCCCGAGCAATGTTGCAGACACCGGTGGCGCAGGAGGTGTGCAACTCCCATCTGCACAGTCGGCGACTCCGGAATCTCTGGGGGACGGGGATGCCGCTGGAGATGGCAACGACGAAGACGACAACTCAGCGCGTGGGGCCTCACAAACGACTGGAAGTCCGGCCGGTTTCGGGAAGAGGAAAAACGTGCGGCAGCAGACATTCGAGGCCTTAAGCGAGTGCATGGAGAAGTATGGGGCGTTGATGGCGTCGACGATGGAGAGCGCGATGTCAGGCGGCCAAAAGTAGTGCGCCGCCTGAAAATGGCGGTTTTGGGACTTAGGCTCAAGGGCGAGTCCGTGTTTTTACGGTACTTTGGTCTGACCGGGCAGCAGAAATTATGAGAACTCAGGGTGTCCCTGATTTTGGGCGCACTGGATCTTAAGAGTAACCCTCAAAGATGGCGAGATGGATGGCCACCCCCGACGCATCTAGGGACTGTCAATTCTGGCC